TAAACATTGGCACCTAATATATAGACAGACATAGATACTGTGGTTAAACAGACTGGAAGATTTCCCATGAAAAATTGATAAATGTGTATTTATGAAAATGAATGTCAGCACTGCTCTCAGTGAATAGTGCTGCACTGTGTAACAAGAACATAAAATAAATGCCAGTTGTTTTATTTTGTGCTAAGCTTTTGGGTTAAAAGTTAGGTTAATTACCTTGATCAAATTATTGATGCCTAGATTGACTTAAAACAACTTAAAACTTTGCATTTTATGATTCTTCGGTTGCTCCAACCAGTTATTTTGCTTGCCAGATGTGTTCAAACTGGAAAAAGGCAAAAATCCAGGGACCAGCTGTACACTGGTGTGGATTTTCCTTTAAACTAACAAGAAAAGTCTCAAATCATAAAATTCCACTGTGGGGAATACAGTGTCCTTTTTAAATGCTAATGTAATGCCCTCAGCATGTTCAAGGCTAAACAGGCAGAGAATAGATACAAACTGGTCAAGACATTTCCATCTTTATTCTCCTCAGTCTGCGGGCTTTCCAGACATGAGTCAGCACACTCTCCTTGCTCCCTTTTGCCCCTTCTGCCTGGGGGTGTTAGGGTGGGCAGGACTGGCCTTGCTTGTGGGGACTATAGTTAGCTTTTCTTAAAATGCTACCTTTTCCCTGATAATTTTAATAAGCAAAGCAATGCTTAGCTGTATAATGCAGAACAATGAAACGATATATAAAGCAAAAGCTAATAATCTTCCCTCTCTTCCCTTGGAGGAATCCAGTGTTCTCTTCTGCCGTTTATTGGGTTCTTGCTCAGTTCTGCAATATGTACACATGCAGATTTTTGTTTAGAAATTTATAGAAGTGGGAGTGCCAGTTACTTTATTATTTTTGCAACAATGTAATCTTTCTTTAGGCCAGTAGAGAATGAAACACTTTACTTGCTTGTTTATCATAGTTATGATTTAGTCCACTTAACAGTTTTAAAATAATCCTTTTTACATGGAGAAATTTTAAAAAATAACACTACCTTTATTAAGCTATAACTTACACATCATACAGTTGACCCTGTGGAAGTATGAAGTGTCCTTTAGTATATTCATAGAGTTGCAGATACTAGGTCTCACTGTAATGCAATTGTAGGACATCTTACCTGCCCCTAAAGAACACTTATACCCATTATAGTCACTCTATATTCCCACTCTTCAGTCCCTACTAACCAGTAAATTACTCTCTGTTTCTATAAATTTGCATGTTCTGGACATCTAATATAATCATACAATATGTACTCTCTTTTGACTGACTTTATCCACTTGGCATACTGATTTCAAGTTTTCCACATTTTGTATGTATCAGTATTTCATTCCTTTTCATGGATAACATTTAATTGAGTGAATGTACAACATTTTGTTTAGACATTTATCAGTTGATGGGCATTTGTTTTGTTTTCACTTTGGGGCTATTTTGAATAATACCGCTGTGTACATGTGGGGTTTTTTGACGTACGTTTTCAATTTTCTTGGGTGTATGACTAGGAGTGCAATTGCTGGACCATTTGATAGCAAAATGTTTAATATTCTGAAGAACTACCCAATTGTTTTCCTTAGTGGCTACCCCAGTCTACTACTACTAAAGCGAGGATTCTAACTTCTCCACATTCTAACCTCAATGGCAATATTCTATTGCTAGGAGCTATTCTATTGCTAATGCTATAGCAATGCAATAGCATTCTCAATAACAATATTCTATTGCTATTGTCTGTCATTTTAATTTTAGTTAAAAATAGCTCAAAGTGTTATGTCATTGTGGTTTTGATTTGCATTTCTCCTTTTATCATGTCTCTATTGAATATTTGTATGTTTTATTTCTATTAAAATCCTTTGCTTTTTGTCCCTTGTTTGGTCTTTTTATAATGCCTTTTATGACATATGAAAGACCTTAATGTATTCTGGACATAAATTCCTCATCTGATGTATGGTTTGGAAATATCTTTACCCTTCTTTGTGCTGTCTTTTTATTATTTTTTGAATTTGGAATTGAACCCAAGGCCTTCATGCTGCACTATATTTGTAGCCATTTTTATTTATTTTTGAAATATGGAGACAGGGTCTCTTTAGGTTTCCCAGGCAAAACTCAAAGTTATAATCCTGCTACTTCAGCCTCCAAAATGCTGGGATTAAGACCTTTTTATATGCTTAATAGTTCCTTTGAACTTCGAAATTTTTAAAACTTTAGGAAGAGCAGTATTGTGCTTTAGATGTATACCTCAGAAATCATTGCCTAGAATCACTATTTCTTCCTTTGTTTTCTTCTCACAGTTTCATAGATTTAGCTCTTAGGCTAGTGGTCTATTTTATTCATTGGCATCCAAGTTAATTTTATACATGGTGTGAGGTAAGGTGTCCAACTCCATTTCTTTGTTTGTTAATATTGCCCAGTTATAAAAATTCTTTGTATGTTATTCCAGAATCATTTGCTGAAGAGTGTTATCTTCTCACTGAATTGTCTTAGCAGCCCTGTCAAAAATTAATTAGCCATAACTGCAATGGTTTATTTATAAAATCTCTATTCTATTCTGTTAATCTGTGAGGATGCTTGATTACTGTAACCTTGCCATTTTTGAAAATACAAAAGATGAATCTTTTTGCTTTGTTCTTGTTGCACAAGATTATTTTGGTTGTTCTTGGATTCCATATTAATTATAGTATCAACTTGCCAGTTTCTACCAAATGGTAGCTGAGGCTTTAATAGGGATTGCATTGAATGTGTAGATTAATTTGAGAAAAATTGTTGTCCTAACCACATTAGGTTTTCTAATTTACGAGCTTAGGATGTCTTTCCATTTATTTATTTCTTAAAGTTTCAGTTTATGATGGGTTTATCAGGGTGTGACCACATTATAAGTTCAGTAATATTTGCATAGAAATAAAACTGATTTTTGTATATTAATCTTGTATCTTATAGTCTTATTGAACTCATTTATAATTTCCAAAAATTTTCTTGTGGACACTTTTGGATTTCCTTTATATGGTGCTTGTTATCAGAAAATGAGAGCTATTTGTACTTCTTTTCCAAAGTGGATAACTTTTTTTTTCTCCATTATGCTTTAGCTAGAACGTATAGAACAATGTTGTATAGAAGTTGCAAGACACAATTGCTTTGTCTTGTTCTTCATCTTAGGTTTAAAGCATGTAGTTTTGCATCATAAATTATAATATTAGCCATAATTTTCCACTAGTGCCCTTTATCATGCAAGGAAGTCTTTATATTACTACTTTGTTGAGTGTTTTTTTAAAATTCTAATATCATGTTGTAATATATTGCTTGGTTTTCATACATTAAATCAACTTTCTTTTCTGCAGAGAATTGATTATGGTGTATAATACATTTTAATATATTGTTTTGATTTGATTTGCTTGTATTAAGATGTTTTTGTGTTTCTACTCAAGGATTGTCTATAATTTAAATTCTTTATTATGTTTTTATCTGGTTTTGTTATGAATATAACTTCTTATAACGAGTTAGAAAACGTTCCTTCCCTCCCTTTTTTTTTTAGAGGGGGAAAGATTGTAAAGGTTTGGATTTAAATCTTTCATTGCTTAATAGAATTCAACTGTGACCATCTTTGGGAGTAGCTTTGAAATTACTAATTCAATATCTTGCCTTCTACTTTTAAAAATTTTTCTATTTCTTCTTGTGTTGGTATTGGTAGTTTGTCTCTTTTAGAAACATATTCATTGTACCTAGATTATTTTATTCATTGGCATACAAATGTTGATTGTCTTCTCATAATAATTTTTACAACTAAATGTTTGATAATGATATCATTTCTTTCATTCATGATTGTAGTAATTTGCATCTTTTTCCTTTATCAGTCTAGCTACAATTTTCTCTATTTTGCTGGCTTTTTAGAAGAACCAACTTCTGATTTTGTTGAGCTTCTTTATTGTTTTTCTATTCCATTCCATACTTAATTATTGATGGACATTCAGGCAGTTTCCATTCTCTTTCCATTATAATCTAAGCTGTAAAGAATATCCTTGCTTGTTAGTCCTGTGATCTGATACTTTTCAAATTCTGCATTATAGATCATGAAGTGAGACTGTTGTGAATTTTTTATTTTAACATATTGCCCTCTTACTTAATGATGTTCCTGAAAATATGGAAAACATTCTTTCAGCAGCTCACTTTGACCATCTGGCCATTGGGCCTGAAGGTCAATCAAGTATTCAGGGTCACCTTGGAAACATATTTAGTCCTGAACTTGGGGTCAAAGTACTTATGATTTATTTTTATATTTGTTTTTATGTAGTGTGCAATCTGAGATGTTACTTAATTTTACAGCTTCTATTTTTCTTTTTCTTTGGCAGAATGACTTCTGCTGACCCCATAAGATTGTTGTGAGGGTCAGATGTATCAACAGCAGGGTCTTTATGTAAAATATCTTAAAAGCCAACACTGTGCATTTGAATTCCATCTCTGCTGCTTATAAACTGCTTAACCTTGGGGAAACTGCTTAGTATTTCTGTTTCATCATCTATAAAATGGGCATGATTGCATTACTTTAACTCATAGGATTGCCAAAAGGATAAAATCAATTAGTACAGTTAGTACATAAGAAAGACTAGTGCCTGACTCCAAAAGTAAGCATTTAAAGAATGTTAGCTAAAAGATATGCATTTCTCATTGCTTCTTCCAGTCTCTGTCTCATATGCTTGTATGTGGGAAGAAATTTACTCAGTTGAAAGCATTTATTGAGTACATTTGTGTACAAAGTAAGTAGAAGATAGAAAAAAATAAATAATAGTCCCTTTGCTAGCAGAAGTATCTGAAAGGTGAGACATGTTCAGTTATAAATGTAATAGAAAGTAGAAAATGTCAACGGCTATAAAGGGACAGACCTGAAGGACTCTTTCTTCTGGGTTTAAAATGAAGCAATATTCTAGGTTCAGCTTCACCAGGTTCTAGTCTGGATAATTAGACTGGCTATCTCATTTTGCAGGAGAATCAGAAATAATGGAACCCAGGAAGAGCAAGATTTTTTGGATTAGGCATTGCAAGGTAAGGCCAGGAAAATGGCTGACTGCCTGTTGAACTCAGTTTGCAAATGTTTATTGAATATCTACTTTGTGCTGGGCAATGTAGGTACACAGGAGAATAGGACAGACCTGGTCTTGGCATTCCTCCAGTTTGGAATTCATGTTGGTGGTGAGCAATGATAGCAAGCGAGTGAAAGTGACAGTGGAGAGAAAATAAGATGAAAGAAAAGGTCACATTAGCTGATTATAGTCTGGTTTGGGTAATGTACACACAAATGCTGCCCAAATGTCTAATATTTTCCTTGACCTGTCTCTCTTATTAGACTGGCTTTCTGAGTTAGGTGGAAATACGAGCAGTTGTCCATGCAGGACATTTCCAGAATGGCCCAGGACCTGGCATGGTGGGAGTGAGGAAAGAAAGGAGTAATTAGTAGGCAGCCTTGGAAGTGGGATGGGATATAAAGAACAGGAATTCTGGGAAAAGATGATTCTGTATTCAAGCTATTTGCATAGATGTTGCCATTTAATGAATATCTATCTATCTATCTGTCTATCTATCTATCTATCTATCTATCTATCAATATTTGTTTTGAGAAGACTAGTAGTGGCTGAGAGGAAGCGAGGGTTCTGTGAGAGACCAGGCAAGTGGGTGATGGAAGGGAAAATGGAGCAGAGGGATCTGACAACCATCACATTCCTTTCTCTTTTTCCCTACTAGCTGAAGTACAGAGAAATCAGTGTCTTGGACTGGTGGTAAGAAAAGACCAGTGGAATGGAGAAAAGGGATAGGGCAGGACCCAGAGGCACAGCTGAGCTGCAAGACTCTTTCACTGGAGAGGACATTTTTATGCAGAGGGGAGGAGATTGTTATGGTTGTGTCTAGATATCACTCAAAGCCTCATGCAGTCATGAGGGGAGCTTTTTTGGAGGTGGCTGAATCTAGAGTTTGTGATGGATCCATGGTCCAATGCTGGGATTAAGGATGTGAGTGCCATACTCGCCCTGGGGCAGGTAGTCTGCATAAATATAATGGACAGAAAGAGTCTCTTTTTTGCTTTTGCTGCCAACAGTTGCCACTCTGCCATGTGCCGCCCTGCCTTGGAGTCAGCAGATCATGTGCTGAAGCCTCTATAAACTGTGAACTAAATAAACCTTTCCCCCTTTAACTTGGGCGTGTTGGGTATTTTGTCTCAGCAATGAGAAAATTAACTAAGCCAAGGATACATAGGACTGAGCCAGCCCAAGGAGGTCTGTGTGGAAATAGATTAAGGACACTAAGGAGTTTCACAATGTAAGAATCAACAGTGTTTATTGCTTTCATTTATACTTAAGTCTGCTTGCTCTTTTTTCCTTCCTTTGCTTCTGCCTTTTCCCCCCTTTTTTCAGTGCTGATGAGGGGATTTGATTTCTTTTTCCCCAGCAGATAACGATCTAGTGTGCTGGTGAAGGAAACAATACATATACAGGTACATAATTACACCATAGGTCATGCATACCTGTAATATCAGCGCTGTGGGAGACTGAGGCACAAGTCTGGACAACTAACAAGACCTGTCTCAAAAGAAAAAAATGTTTCTAAATGTTTGGGGATTTAGCTCAGTGCAAGGGCCCTGGGTTCAATCCCTAGCACCCCTATATATATATATATATGTGTGTGTGTGTGTGTGTGTGTGTATATACACACACATATATATGTATGACTTTTTATGAAATGAAGTCTATGTATCACACAACTGACAAATAATAAAATTGTAACACTCTTTGCTGTAAATTTCTTATAGCAAATTGATTCTCATAGACTATTTTTCTGACTTTTGCCAAACTCCTACAGAACCTGTGGTGGTGGCTGATGAAAAGCACAGTTCTGACATGAATGACAGTTGTATTTTCACTTATGTTAACAAAATTAAAATGAATTGACAAAGACATTTGTAAGAATTTTACCCATTTATTAATGATATGAATGATAATAATTTTTGCCACCGAAAGAATATGTCCTGAAGTTTTAAGCAAGTTACAGTACTCACAAATAGGATATATTTTTGTTTGATTTGCATAATTAACATTTTTTTCATTTTTATCTTCATACATCATCACTTTCTTGAGTTTGGACATTTAGCAAAACTAGAAGTCAATACCTGGTTGGTAGCTTTTGCCAATATCTGTGGTGTAAATACTTCCACCACAGTGCCACTCAGGTTTACTTGGGAAGGAAGGGGCAAAAGTACACTGTATCCTATTATTACTCCCCATTTAAACACAATAAATATGAATAGCCTCAGGGCAAGAGATAATGCTAAATAGATATGAATGACATCAGAAGAATAGATAACAGTAAATGCAAAATAATTAAGAAATGAGATTTGCACAGGTATTACTGTTTTTTAATATTTTTTGAGAGCTTAGCTTTGATCTTCAAGTAATACGATTGTAAGTTTACATAATTTAATTTTTAATAATGGTAGTATTTAACGAATGGTTTGCAACAACTCTCCCAAATTTAAAAAACCAGCTCTGCTGGGCTAGAATGAACTTGCTTTGTGAAACCAGTGCATCTATTTGCCCCTAAAGAAATATGCATCCTTTGGGTCATGTCTTTTATTTACTTTTCCAGTACTGAGGATTAAACACAGGCCTTTCACACTCAGACAGGCCTTGCTAAATCATCCAGGCCGCGCTTGAACTTGCAGTCTTTTGCCTTTACCTCCCAGAGTGCTGGGATTAGAGGCATGCACCCCACGAGGTCAGGTCATGTCTTGACTTCTTTTTCCTAGGATCTCCCTCTGGGTCTGACAGGCCTTCCGGGGGCAATGAAAAAATTGATTTAAGCACTCCATGCAGGTATTTATTCTTAGGAAGAAAACTTACCAGGTATGATTGTATTTAATGCTTCAGTTTGTAATCATTTTTACTTTGGAAAAGTTTAGAGAAAAATGTTTATCAAATATTTAAATTGAGTAACTTAATGGAAGAATAACATTATCAACCATAGAGTTAATTTGAATAGTGTGTACAGGAAGCTGTATCATAGCTATATCAAGACTCAAGTATCATGAATGCTGGTATCTAAGAGATTGATAGACATGATTAAAGGCATTTTACAAGTGGTATAGACCACTGAGATTATTGAATATAACATTATAGATTGCACAGTAGTGATCCCGAGTGTACATGGTGTTCACATGATAAGATGCAGTTGCAATAATAAAGCAGTTTGTATAAAGTATGAATAACTTTCCACAGAAAGATCAGCTGCTGATTTGAATATTGGGTGTACGTGGAGAAGTTTCAGGCCTAAGAAAGAAATGGTCTTTGTATGCTGTAAATGTTTTAGAATAAATTAAAAGACACAGAGAGAACAATAATTCTTGGATCTATTAGTCAGTGTTTTGAGCTGCAAACAGCAGATCCCTCCCTAGTTAGTTTAAACAGAGAAAGAATTACTGGGTGATACTGTGTGGTTTACAGATTCTCTGTGGAGTCAGGGCATCAGGCTTTGGGGCCTTGCATCTGGGAATAATGCTTACATAACACTACTGATTTTGTGTCATTGTGATCTTTGCTTCAGTGAAAGCCTCATTGCCACTATTTCTGGACACAGACACCATAACTTCCTCTGCTGAATCCAGTCTGTGGATGCCAGGATTTTGATCACAGCTGTTTCCAAATGCTGGGCACATATGCCGTTATGCTGACCAGAAGGTGACTTTTAGGTGCTTCCTACTTCTGAACAAACTATGTTTTCTTACGAATCCAAGTTGCATATGGGTTTTTCTTACTAATATATCTAACAGCCTACCTGTGACACAGATACCTATTGGGTGGAAAAGGGAGTTGTTGGCATCTATTTTGTAGAAAAAAGTTGAAGGATTTCCAACTACAGGAAGTGATTCAAAAGATTCCAGATGACCACAAAGAGTGACAGAGATCTCCTGCATCAGAATAGAAAGAGCGAGGTATTAAACTAGACATAATGCCACATGTGAAGGGTGAAGAATTCTTTGCTATCATATTATTTGCACTTATAGGTTTTGCAAGTGTTTGGGTATAGTTCTCATAAATGTCAGTATTTTTTCATACTGTGACATGTAACATGACAGTTTGTTAAATGTAGGAGAAGAAATGGCATCAGAATAATTGTAGTTACAAGGAATTTAACTAGAACTGAAAAGTTTATCATTTAGAGTAAAATAGATGATACTATACCCACATGGAGGTATTAAACAGTAATGCCAGGATTTCTGCAAAGATGTATTTGAAACATAGTTGTGTGAGTGTCTAGGGAGTACCGCTAACTATTTGGTATGCATGATAATAGTTTACCTTGTATGGAGGTTTTATAACTGAAAAGTATTCTGTGTAAATTGTTAGTTTGAGCATCAAAAGTTATGTTTGTTGTTGGAGTATTATTTGCACTGTCATATTAGTTTCAGAATCTAAATCTTAGAGAGACTGAATTATTTTTAAATTCACATACATGCTAATTGACACATGAGTTTTGAAATCAGCTTTTTCACTTTAAATTTTATAAACATAGTAGGATCTAAGAAAATTCCCACTCTCAAAGCTGTGCAGGATTCCTGGGAACCTGTTCATGCTGCCCAAAGTGAGTGTCTGGTCCTATTCCATTAAAGGAATTCCAATTGTGATTCTTGGGGAGTATGCTCACTTAGGACAAGTTATTGCTAAAAGCCTGTCATTCAGTTTGTACAGTCAGCCAATGAAACAATCAATAGACATTTCCTGGGATGAGGACAGGGTGCACATGGTGTGTGATCCTCCTTCTCCTTCTTCCTGAACTCTGACAGATTGCTCTTCCTGTTACTTCTGAAGGCATGGCAAGTCTAGTATGAGTTGGATTATAAAGGCTTGGTGTTCAATTATAATTTTAATTTTCCTAGTTGCCTGGTTTACTTGAAGTTAATAGTGTAGTACTGGGACTTTTTGCATGGGGGGTCCTAACTTATTTTAGAGGTAGGACAGTTTTATTCTCTCTTGCTCTCACTTTTGGCTCACTTATTGATCTCTTTTCCTACTAATTAAAATGAGTAAAACTGTTTCCATAGTAAGGCTGCCATAAAATAAATGGGATCTGACTATGTACCGTTCCCGTGATTGCTTCCCCAAAGGTAGGGTGTAAAATTCTAACATTTTATTTTCAGTTTTTAACAAATGCAAAAGATCTGCCGTTCAGTCAATTCTTTCTATTCATTTTAGATTTATATAGGCAATGGTCTCCGTTCACATACATAGGCAGATGATACATTTTGACTAGATTTTAATATATATATATATATGCTTAGCTTTATATACCTGTTTTATTTTTATGTACCTGTTTATTTAATATATATATGTATATATAATGCTTAGCTTTATGTACCTGTTTTAGTTGCTTTTTTCTTGTTGCTGAGACAAAATACCCAACTCCCAAAATTGAGGAAGGAAAGATTTATTTAGTTCACAGTTTGTGGAGGTTTCAGTTCATAATCAGCTGGCTCCAAGGCAGGGTGGCACATGGCACAGGGACAGCACTTCAAGGTGGCAGAAGACAGCAAAAACAACAAGAGAAAAAGGAGGGAGGAGTAAGCCTCTTTTCCTCCCTTATACTGTAAGCAGGCTACCACCCCTCAGAGTGGTGCAGCACTCACACCATCTCTGTGCCCTTCTCTTGCACAGGGTGAGGATGTTTATAAAGTGTGGACCCTGGCCCCCTGCTGAGTCCCTTAGTTAAACTTTTAAACTTCTGGACACAATATATCAACCATTGCAATATCTTAATGTGTCCAATCAGAAGAAAAGCAGTAGAAAAATTAATGTAGAAGACACAGATACATGCTTTCACTTTTGGTACCTTAACAGTAAGTAATATTTGGAAAATATAGTATGAACAAATTATAAAAGAGGATACTTGATTAAATAAGGTCAGTCCAGTATACTACAATGGCTTGTCATTTGACAGTTCTCTTCTGTTGGTGAAAAAAGCCTATTCATACCTGTAAATCTTGGACATATAAAAATGTACATATTAAGGGGGTACAATGTGGGGATTTTTTTGTAGTACTAGAGATTGAAACTGGGGCCTTTATGCTAAGCCACAGGCTCATCCCTGTATGTATGTATGTATGTATGTATGTATTTATTTACAAACAAGGGCTTGGTAAATTACTAAGTTGTTCAAGCTGGGCTGAAACTTGTGATCTCCTGCCTCAGCTTCCCAGAGAGCTAGGATTACAGGTGTTTAACCCCACATCTGGTTTCATGTGGTGTTTTGATACATGTATACATTCTGTGATCTATCTTCTCAAATATTTATCATTTCTTTCTTTTTTCTTTTTTATTTTAAAGAGAAAAGAACAAAAACAAAATGAAAACAAAATAACACAAATGCAGAAAAAACAATATAGAATTTCAAAACAAGATGATAGGAAATTAACAATTTTTATTGTATTACATATTATCTTCAAATTAGTTGCTCAAATAACCAGATATAGGCATGTAAGATGATCAAATTATTGAGCATTAACTGTTCCTTTCAATAAACCAATATAAATTAGTAGTACAATTATCTTAGCTATCTTGTGTATATAAATACATATTTTTCCCTTTGTTCTTTCTCTGTTTTCTGCATTCCTTCATTTCAGTTGTTCTTTCCTTTTGAGCAATTTCTTTCCCTTTCACAATATTTATTGTACCTTTCAGATTTTATTTACTCTTTCAGGTTCTTACACTAGGGAGACAATATGATGTTTACATATTCAGGTCTGATTTATTTCACTTAATGAGTGTGGTCTCTAGTTGTGACCATTTACCTATAAAATCCTTGAGTTTATCTTTCTTTATAGCTGAGTAATTCTCCATTGTATAAAAATACCACATCTTTTTTATCCACTCCTCAGTTTATGGGCATTTGGGTTGTTGTCAAGATTTAGCTATCACAAATTGTGCTGCTATAAACATGGGTGCACATACATCGCTGTGGTATGATGTTTTCAGTTCTTCTGGAAAAATACCCAGAAGGGGAATAGCTGGGTTGAATGGGACCTCTAATCCTAGTTTTTTGAGGAATATCCACACTGATTTCCACAGTGGTTGTACCAGTCTACTTTCCCATCAACAGTGGAGAAGGGTTCCTTTTTCCCCACTGCCCCTCCATCATTTGTTATTGGTTGATTTCTTGATGATAGCCATTCTTTCTGGGGTGAGATGGAATCTCAGTGTTGTTTTACTTTGCATTTCTGCAATGACTAGTGATGTTGAACATATTTTCATGTATTTATTTCCCATTTTTATTTCTTCATCTGAGAAGTATGTATTCATCTCAGCTGCCCCTCTGGAACCAGAAGAGACCCTTTGTTATCCTAGATAACAAAGACAAGGCAGGAGGCATAGCAATCCCTAACTTGAAGTTATACTACAAAGCTACTGTGATAAAATCAGTGTGAGACTGGCAAAAATACAGACCTGAGGACCAATGGAACAGACTAGAATATGCAGCCACAACCAAAAATATACTTAGCCACCATATCTTTGACAAAGGGGCCAAACATGTTCACTGGAAGAAAGATAGCTTCTTCGATAAATGGTGTTGGGAAAACTGCCTCTCCACATGCTGAAAACTAAAACTAGACCCATGTCTATCACCATGCACTATACTAAAGTCTAAATGGATCAAAGTTCTAAGTATTAAAACACAAACACTAAATCTACTGGAAGAGAAAGTAGGTAGAAATCTTGAAGACATAGGGGTAGGCGGAGAGTTCATGAACAAAAACCAAACTGCATGGGAAATACTTCAAAGAATCAGCAACTGAGATCTCATCTTATTGAAAAGTTTTTGCACATAAAGAAATCACTAACAGAGTTAAAAAGAAAACCCATGAATTGGGAAAAATAATTTTGCCAACTGTCCCTCAGGCAAAGGACTTCTATCTAGAACATATAAAGAATTAAAATCAGGCCCCCAATATTTATCATTTCTTTGTTTTGAAAACATTCAACATCTTTTCTTGCAGCTTTTGAAATATGCAGCACTTTTTTATTACCGAGTCACCCAACTGTTCAGTAAAGCTCCAGAAATCCTTATTCATGTCTAACTATACCTTAGTACTTCCTGGCCAATCTTTCCTCATCCCTTTCTCTCTCTAACTCTGCTTAGCTTCCTGTAACCACAGGTCTGGTCTCAGTTTCTAAGTACATGTGATTTTTTTTCTGAAGCTAAGAGATTTCAGTGTGGGGCAACCAATACTGATGAAAGTACTCTATTGGCCAAGATGGAGATTTATTTTAGTTTTGAGATTCTTTGTTTCACATCCATTAAAAAATATACTGCACATCCAGGGAATGCCAGGGACTCCTTTGGGCTCAGGGGATATGAGACAAGGCTCCTGCTCTTAGAGAAACCCATTTGGAGGAGGAAACCTGAAAACTGACCAAAGAACACAGAGATATTTAAGATCATTTCAAAGATAGACAGAGTTTAGGTAGTAAGTAGAGCAGTGGGATAAAATTTGAATAGGATCAGTTTATGGAGGGCTGGTTAGTGATGTCATAACCTCTCTGTGAGTGTGCTCTTGTTGCTGAGATCCGAATGACAAGAAGCAGCAATCTGTGGAAGAATCTGTTAGCACTGCACATGGATGCGTGCTTTCTTTTATTAGGCTGGTTAGGCTGGGGTAATGTTTCCACTTAAGGATAAGAGTTCAGAGACGCACTAGTTTTCTAACTCTATTGTGACACTTCTAATACATCCTGGTTATTTTTTAAATGTTCTTATACCAGTTCTAAGAAGACAGAGATAATTCCCTTAAGAACTGCTTGAAACCAAAGAGCTGTTGCACAATTTCACAAATATCGTTGAGTAGCTTGTAGTAACATCACTGATTTGCAGCAATGAGAGTGCTAGTGGTTAAGTGTTACTATAGTGGAAATCATACGGTGCTAAGAATCCCTGTAGAACTATTTTGGAGGCCAAGTGAGGAGTTCTGAAATAAGAGATTTCTCAACTTGCATCTAGATAAGAAGGAGTAGTTTCCTAGATAATGTAACAGGCAGGGATTAGAGGGAGTAGAAGAAGCTTCTACACAGAGGAATATGTGCAAAGAACTCCAGGGAGAGAGGATATGGTACATCTGGGGAACTGCAAATAATCTGCATTTGATCAAAGTGAATAGTGAAGGCAGTTAATTGATGAGAGAGAGGGAATCCTAGATTAATAAGCAGGGGCCAATGACTTAGAACCTGGTAAACCGTATTAAAGACTAGGTTGATGAAGAGGACAACATTCATTCATTCAACACATTCTTATTAAGTATCTTATGTGCTATGTAGTCTTTTAGGTGCTGGGGACACATCAGTGAACGAGCAGAAGTCCCTGTCCCCCTTCTGTCTACATTCCACAGGAAAAGCATTCTTAATAAACATAAGAATGTTGATCAAGTGAGTTGCCAAAGTTTTGAAGATTTTTGAGCTTGATGTCATATGGAACAATTTTTTAACTAGGGACACCCAAGAGGTCACAAGTCACAGATAGATGATGGATAGATAGATAGATAAAAATTTAATAATTGCACTTGAGATTTTGAAATCCTTTCACTCTTCTAAGTGAAATTAAACTACTGCTTCTTAGGCACAAGGGCTGGAGCTTGCTTCCTGCTGAGCACTTTCTAATCAGGACTGCTCTGTGACCCTACACACCATGGGTTCTCAAACTAATGTGTTAAACAGAAAAACAACAGAAAAGCTAGTGGCAAGAGTGCTATTAAATTATTTGAAGCTCATTGAAATTATATCATTTTGAGGAGATTGTTCAATAATGTGCCTTTAAGCTTCGGATTGTAGCAACTACACTTTGCCATAGAACTTTTCAGAAATTGCACTAAACTTGGTGGAACATACCCTTATAATACTTACAAATTCAAGGAGCTTTTCATTTCCCAATGTATTTGCCCTCTAGTAATTTAAAGTTGGTCACATATATGAATTGAATCTAAAAAAGAGTACAGTTTTGTGGTCAGAGAAATTTTTGATTATTATTGTATAGAGGTATAATTACACTTAGTTTTTTTTTTTCCTAACCTACTCTGTACGTCTTCAACATGGCATATTTCACTGAAGCACGAACAGATTGTTCTAAAGATAAGTTCCAAATTGCTAGCAACTTTTCATTTTGGGAGAGAAGAAAAGAATCCAGTGTTAAGCCTCTGTCTCTCTAACATAAAACTCGAGGTGGTGAACTACGTGGCACTTTTGATTATATGTTGCAACCACAGTAAGTCCCTGAAATCCAAGGGAATACTGCTCTCCAGGCCTTTGTGTAGAATGCTCACATGGATGCTCACAGCAACCAACCCAGAAGCAAATTGCTGCTGATAGTAACTGACAGCATGAATTACTGTGCTGTCAGACACTGCCAGGACCAGCCCGTATGATCTCACTTTTGCTCATATGGAAAGCTGATCTCGTGCATGAGCTGGAGTGAACCTCCCAAGTTCAGGGAATGCAAGGTCTCCCAGCAGTTGTCTGAAAATAGCCAGCACCTTTGAACTTAATCACTGAGGCATCTCCTATGTTCATACCTATGAAGCTAGGGTTTTCTTTGATAAATTTCTGATCCTAGCATGTAAAATCCCTAAGAAAAAGGAGAAGCTGATTCATCTGTTTATTTATCACAGGAAAGCCTGGATGTCAATGAGTGCTAGGAATGATGTCAACTTCGCCTTAGCAAGTGGACCTGCTTCTGGGCCTGCCACGTGCTCTAGTCCCTGTAAAGACAGTCTACTGCCAGGTTGATTTGTAGTAACTTTCAGAAAACTTCCTTTCATGCGGAATGAATAAACACATTGAAAGAGCTTTACTCTTCATTACAAATGCTCAGTTGAAGTAAAGTTATGTGATGGGAAGTGCTGCGGGAAAGATTCTGTATTTGTGTTTATCCATACAACCAATATTACTAAATGATAGTTCGACTATGAGAAAAGCTCATCCTCAAAATATATGCCTGGAAAGAGAACGTGAAACTAGGACTGTTCATCCAAGGGATGATATCATAGATCCACAACCCAAGATTAGCCTTGAGATTTCTTCCATAATTTCCCACTCTGAAACTCACCTAAATAGTACAGCATTGCAGAAAACCCTACCTGGCCTAATGCCTTTGCTCATCATTAGCACTATAATCTACTGCTTCTGGGAAAGCACAGACCTCTCAGGTCCTGAACTCTGGTCTTGGCAGGTAGAAAGCCTTCCAGGTCACTTTGAAGATATGTTTGTTTTGAATTCCTAAGCCTACACATGTTTTCTGTTAATAAATTGGACTCTTGCATATGATTTTATTCCCCCATTTATTTCTTCATTTTAGGAACAATGGTCTCTTTGAAAATGGAACCTATTTGAGTAGAAGGAAAATAACCTTTCTTTGTCTGGTCCATGTTTTGCTTTCTCAGGAAGAGGTGCTGTGCTGCAGGCTTTGCAGGGCATTTCTTCCAAGCTAGCACCGCTCTGATGGTGGCCATGAGAGCATGAATGTGGGAAAGCTTTACTTCCGGTTAGCATGGGCTGGTGGAGGACACTCTGGAAGGACAGGAGGTTAACCAAACCCTTCCTGTCTGGGGCGAGCCAGAGGTGGGCATGGAAAATCCCAGCGAGGGAAAGTGCAGTAATGAATTCCATGTGGTAACGGGGGCACGGAGGAGTAAGCACTCACCTTTCAACTTGCATGTTCTGAGGGCCTCTCCTGCACCTCCTCCTGCCTTCCTGATCTTAATGAGAGTTCTACCTTCTACCTAGGAGGGAGAACAGAGAAGCGTGGAGTTCCCCTTATTCTTTTCTGTCCCTCGTGTGCTGGAGCCAATCAATCACCACGTCCTTTCAATTCTAACTTAATCTTTCAAATTCCACTACATGTTTTTCATTTCAACACCAAGCCCACATATATCGTTTTTTACAACTAAGCTTCTTAACTTCCCTAGCCTTGTTTTCTGTAGTCTGATCTCTAAGATACCCATCTGATCATCTTCTTCTTAAGAGGCTCCCCATTATCTTAAAGAAAAAACAACTCAACTCTTTTGAATGATATAACCTTTCAATTGGTGTTTTTCTTTTTCCATCCTTGCTTTATCGTAGGCTCTGTCTTGGATTTCCTGCCCATCTTTTTCCATCTCTAGGGTAATTCCTCCTTGGCTTTTTGCAGTTTAGTTCAGTTACTACCTCCTCCTGGAAGATTTCCACTGAGCCCCTTTCTGGCTTCATGACAAAATGTTCCCGAAAGATCTCATTGTGACCACCTTGGAAATATATCATACACCCCAAGCGCAAACTCAGTATTTTCATTCTTCCAGCTCAGCACTGGCTTAGTGCTTAGCATATCGTTGGTGAGTGAATATGGGCATTTAAGGGTTAATCAGAGAAAGCCACATAGAAAAGGTGGAGCTGAGCTGACTCACACTAGAGGGAGGAATCAGGGAGACAGAGAGGGCTCTTTAAGGCCAAAAAATAATAATAACAACAATAAGAAGAACATAGGCAGAGAGACAGCTTGCAGTATGTGGAGAATTATAAGTGGCTTAGAACTGCCGGAACATAAAGGGTGAGGTACACAATTCATTTGTTGTATCCTGCCGCAAGCTCCTCTCAGAAATTGGAAAGGCTTCTTAATGCTTTGGGTATAGCTGAGAATAAAGATATATTGTACATGACTTGTAATCCCAGCTTTTTGGGAGGCTGAGGCAGAGGGATTTCAAGGTGAAGTCTAGCCTGGGCAGTTTAGTGACTTAGCAAGACCCTGTCTCAAAAAAACAAAACAAAACAGGGGTTGAGCAATATAGCTCAGTTCAATCCCCAGTGTCGTGTTAGTCCCTTTGACATGAACCGCTATGCAGTTTAACTTCATTATAGGATTTATACAAAAAATTATAGGATTTATACACAAGTGTTCAACCACAGCAGACTACAGAGGGGCAGTTAGGTGGTGGGATGCAAGCTTAAAGCTGGGACATACATGCCTCCTTGAACATGGTCACCATACCCCTGGGGCCCTGTGTTGAGCCTCCCAGGATGCAGCCTCAAGCTGCATGTTGAGAAGGTAAGCCGGGACCAAATGGCCCCTCCTGTACTCAGCATGCTGATTTTCCATACTTGAGTAAGAATGTCCTGTGGGAGCCTTTGCTCTGTGAGCCATCCCTGCTGACTTTCACTGTTTTAACGGCTTGAAAGTGGCAAAAAACTAACATGTTACAAGGAGAAAAGGGAAAATTTGAAAAATAAGTGTAGAAAAAGAAGGACACATTAAACGAAGTCTTTAGAAAATGGATTAAAACTGCTGAGTTAAAGAATGCTTAAAATAAAAGAAAAGCGTATGCACGTTCTCAGGTAATACGGGTCACTAGTGTAATAGAAAGATTTAATTAGTGTAGTTGAAAATTGTCTGAGTGTGATTTCTTCATGCAAACTGTGGATTCAGAAACAAGCAAGTGATGCTTGGAGTGACTATGAGAGCTTGCTGAGGGTCAACTATTCCTCCTCCAAGGACTGGAGGAGTTCAAAGTGCACCTCCAGATGAACCCGCCCAAAAGTCATCAATTTATTTAAGGTAATTTTTATATGTTAATTTATTTGCCTATATAAAAGTTATTATTGAATACCTTTCTTTTTTCTTTGTTTTTTGTGTTTAAGATTTTGTTGTTTGTTTGTTTGTTTGTTTGAGACAAGGTTTCACTGTATAGTTAAGATTGGCCTTGAACTCACTATATAGCCTCGGCTGGTCTCAAATTTGTAGTGATTCTCCTGCCTCAGCCTCCCCAGTGCTGGGATTATAGGCGTGCAGCACCACATTGGCTCTTTTTATTTTTTAAAAATTTTATTGTAGATTTTTTTTAAATCATCAAATAAGAAGGCTTGGAGTATCTGTGAGGATATTCACACCAGGAAGTCCTTATTTTTATAAAATGATCAAGCTATTATTTCTCCACCCCATTATAAAATCTCTTGTAATCTTTATTTGGATTGAAAGTGTTCAGATTATTTTACTCCCTGATTCTATTTTTCTAGAAGAGTATAAAATTTATGTATCTGGGTTTTTCTCCCTCTAGAGTCAGTGCAAAAATTTTCCTCCCCGGGGTGTGGCCAAGTCCTGGTGAGTTTCCGTAATCTGTGCGTCAAGGGCTGCTTTGTCCTCCACCTCTTCTCTGGGCTGCTGTCTCTCTCTGATGTGGACTTGGGACCCAGAGGGGCAACAACGTTTGACCTTTCAAGGAGGTTAACAAGACTTGCAATCCACTGTGCCCCCTTCCCTCCCCATCACGTACCTGGGATTTAGGTCTCTGTTTCTCAGCAGAATGGAACTTCAGTGCTCTGTGACTCAGTGGTAGAAATCAGTTCAGAAAGGACACAGCTTCCTTAACTTTGTCTTGTGTGTCTTTATTTTTATTTTTCTGTCTTTGGTTTATGGTTATTTCTTCATTAAGGGAGTAGGGGTAAATATTATTTTAGGTTTTTACAGAACCTTATGTACAAATAACGGAAGAAATGGCCAAACTGGTAATATTTCACTTATAGTTAATTGCAAAAATGCGCAGATATTAAAAATAGACAAGCTAGAAGTGATTACAATATCGCTTTTGTTGTTACATAAACATAGCAAGGAAGATTAGAAGTGGAGGTTTCGTTTGGTATTTTTTAAACAGTTGGAAGACCTCAGTGGCATCAGTTTTCAAAACACAGCATTTTTTTTCCATTTTGATGAAAAGGAAGGGGAAGAAAGCAAGAGCTAAGTTGACTTTTTATTTATATGCATAACATTTAAATAAAGTTCTCATGGTTTTAAAAAAAGCCTTTTATAGTTTGAAACCACCTTTAACTGCCTCAGTGAGGTTCTTCCTATTAAATATGAGTGTCCCTGTCTGTTTTCTATTCCAGATGTCTATTTGCATGTTTTAGGTGCTGACTTCCAGCAGTCTGGGTGGGACACTCCCATTGGAATTGCTAGAGGTCCCCTGGTTGGCCCACGGGGTTGGGTATATGCGGCGCGCTGTTAAGAAGGCCTCTGGGGATTTGAACCTCAGCCTTTTGGTTGGTTGAGAAGCCCTTACTTGGGTTTGGAAGGAACGGGACTTCACCTCCGGAACCTGCCCAGAAGCTGGAGTAAAGAAAGGAGAAAAAGAAATGCTCTACTCAGAACGTGGCTATGGTTATCACCTAGGACTTAATTATGGGGCAGGTGTAAAGGAGGTCCGTAACCATGGAGCCTGCTTTGGGAAAAGATGGATTGATTTTAAATCAAGTGTAGGTGAAGTTTCATACTTTCTAAGTAATCATATATGTCACATTTACCGTATAAATATGGATATAATGTACGATACCCAAAGGTTGAATTAAATCCAGAATTCCAGTACAATGTAGATTGTATAAGCCTCTTACTGTGATAAATGCTGAAGAGTTCATAAGCAAACACAACACAGTTCTTGCTATAATATAGTCTAATTTAAAAATGCAGCATCTGGATATATAATACTAAGTAAAAGCAAGAGAGCATCTGCTTTTAAAATAACTAATTTCTGCTTTGATGAATGGAGAATTATGTATGACTTGAGGACTAGCTATTTATAGTTTTCCTGGATACTTTATCTAACAGAATAAGAAATATTTAAAATAATTTAATAATTTAAATAATGTAATAAAAGAGCTTGAAAGAAAATATTTTGTGATTTGCTGACTTATACTATGATCCAGTCAAAAAGGTTTCAAGAAAAAGACTATCCTGGGGCTGGGGATTTAGCTCAGCGGCAAAAGCGCCTGCCTGGCAAGTGCAAGGTCGTGAGTTTGGTTCCCGGTACCGGAGAAAAAAACAAAAAAAAAAAA